CGGATTCTGTTAAAATTCAACTACCGACAACGAAATGGTATGAACAAATCTCGCATTCACTATCAGATTTTCGTAAGCAGGTAAGCATGACTTGGTCATTGTTAATGAGTTGTTATGCTTAAATGTGATCAGTTGTTAGATTTATCAAATTTGGTCAACTGTGGGTGATGAATACGAATGCAGGACTAAGTGAATGCAATCAAGTTGTGATGAAAAGAGCTTTTGTCAAGTAAAGTCAGATGAACTTTAATGGAACCGTGAGATCTACTCCTGTGGTTTTTGACGAAAATTCCACTCGGCCACTTAAGACGACCTAGATTGACTAAATTTTCACTCAAGATTTACGACAATTTTGCAAAACAAATCATCTTGATTACCTCCTTCTTCCTCTGCATGCCCCCCAACGGGACTCGAACCCGAGTCGTAGTAGTGCAGTCTAAACCAGAAGTGAATTCCATAACCAGTTAGGTCACTCCTTTATCACATTTTTATGGTGGTAAAACAAACATGAATTTGCCATTCCAGTCGACAGCACTACTTGAATTTCATCAAGTAGTATTTCGATAAATTCAATAAAACATGAATTCAATTGTGGATGCATTTGAAAGTAATACACTGCACCTCCACGAGCCCGATTCTAGTCCCGTGGAAGCTGGCGATGAGACCAGCTGAGGCGAGGTCGAAATTGAGGTCCATTCCGGTCATGTAGGGACGAGAACAGTGTTTGGAAGGCCAAATCGTCTAATTGGGGAAATATTCGCAACAATCCTTTATCACTTTAAGCGGCCTGGACGGACTAAACCACTTGTTGCCGACTAAGAACGGGAAAAGTGGATGCGTTTATGACCAAACGGCCGTTTTCCCACTAAAAAGCACTTTTTCCTACTCTCTATTCTTCTCCTTTTGCCTCTCATTTATTCCATTCAAAAGGCACAGATTGGCCAACTCGATTTGAGAAAGTTGGTCCTCCCATTCAAAGTGCCCACCGTTTTGCCTGATCACGCATACCCACAACATATTCCGCATACCTGCAAATTCACCATATTCCCTGCATCGTTTGGCCGATGAATGTGTTTCATAGGTTTTTTATTTTCCGATTTTCCGAAACAAAAACCCTTTCCGATTCATATCATCGCCAATGTGTGAATTCAAAGGTCTTCCCACGTTGGCACTACCACATGAGCACAAAACAATCCGATCTGCAGGAAGGATCGGGCAATTCAGGAAAGTGGTATTTTTTAAAATGAATAGTTATAATTTTCCCCCATTATTATTAATTATATTCCAAATTAGTTGTCCCAATATCTTATCGGTTAAATGTTCTCAAATTCAATATTTTACAACTTTCTCGGCTCCTGATCCAAGTTGTTAACCTCTTCAAAAGTCAGGCTCATCGATTTCACATTGCATGTGTTAGTCGAAAATGAATGAGAAAACTCTCTTCGCTAATAACCGGTTTGTTTCCATTTTTACCAACATTGACATCGAAAGATATGAAGAGAAACTGGGTTTTGATGAATCTCTTGCGATAACATTATTCCATTTACATGCTTGAGGAATTCAGTTAAACTCAAAAAGCATTTGATTCATCGAAATCCCAATCCACCCATTTTGCTAATGCCAAAAGTTAAGCCTCGTTTTGTTCATACAATTCACCATTTAAGTGGAACATGTAAGGCTCATTCCAAAATTTGTCAAAACACATGATTGGTTGCTCATTCCATTTTTTATTCACTATCAGCTCAGGTTTTTGGTTCAATGATATACATTTTTGAGCATGTTCCGCTCCGCCTGCCGGGATATTAATGTATTCTGACACTGAATGGTAACTTGGCGGCAAATCCTTTTTACCTGCCCATTTACTGGCTACACAAATTGATAAGAATTGCCACCTGAAGACTGGATAATCTCAGTTGTTAACCTTATTCAAAGAGAGACACTTTTAATTGGCAAATAATTGGTTTGCATTATACAATTCATAAAGACAATTCACCAGACATAATCCAAATTTGCCATCTGAACGAGGCTCCTTCATGCCTCTCCAGACACACTTACAAATGTTGCCCACAAGCATAAACGAGACGTTGATCACTCAAGCTTGACTCGTATTTTGATGTTTTGTCAGCATGAAATCCCCCATTTCTGGCCTCAACTGCCTCGGATTGCTCCACCCATAAACCTTTTCCTGTCTTCAGACAGTCTCTTTTTGATCTGTTGGCATGTCTCATCCTCAACACTTTGGAAGGCTTTAATCAAGAAATAGGGTCCCAAATCTCTCAAGAGAAGTGTTGCATTCGTTCACAATACCACATTTTCATGGTGTGATTGTCACTGAAGCAAACAGGTATTTTCCCTTGCGAATTATGCAAGATTGCGAGAATATAAAATGATCATTATGCACAAAATTCACTATCATTCCTTCATCCCATCATACAACTTTGAGCGGTTAAAGCTATTATCGCAGATCTACTCCACTCGAGCACAAGTGCTAGCATTATTTTTAATTGTTGTATCATTATTTTAGCATTTTATCGTTGCCCCACCCTGCCACATTCTGTCCACCCCCTTCGCTACCACCGTCTAAATAAAGTCACCCAACAGTACCGAAATGACTACACATCCTTTGTCATCTTGACCGACCCAAGCGAGCTAAAGCTCCTATTCACGATGGAAACAGCACATCATCCGATGAGAACTGAGTATGATCCCCATTTGTCTTTTTGCATAGTTCAAATGCCCGATTGGTTCACTCGTTCACGTGCCGCCAAGACGACAGCATCAGACTGCCAACCACTTTTCCGCATCTTTTTCATTGCCGATCATAGTCGTCATAAGTTGCCAGACTCAGACTTCATATATCCTCCAATTCATAGCCCCAACTATGAACTGGTTTGTATGAACTTTTAAAAAATTAACAAA